TTCTTCTGAACTCTTGTGCAAGTTTTACTCATTTAATATGGTGAAATGCAAATGGCAAAAAAAAAAAAAAAAAGGGTTCTTCCAAACTGTTGAGGACAAAGGGAAGATATCTTCCAGTGAGAGGATGGACAGAATAGCGGGTGATGCAGTCCCTGACAGAAAACTTGTTTCATCTTATTTTCCAGCTTGGAGATTGGATTAAATAAGGGAGCTGACAGGACTCAGAGCTGTTATTCAAAGGCGTAGTGTATTTTTTCAGCTGCCCTTTCTGCTGGGTCTGTACTCTGGATATAATGGCCTGGCACACAGACTTTCCTAACTAACTGGAAGAGAGCACACACATTCACTTGACTGGTGATTGTTACCAAAGAACATCCATCATGACTAATATGTCCCAGGACCCATTATATAATTTTTGATAGCATTAAGAAAGCCATATCTAACACATCTCTCAATTACTCAGGCAGTCTTGCCACTGCATAACAGAGCTAGTTGGACAGGGTCTGTCTCAGTCTGGAAGTTACTCAATGAAGAGATTTTCAAGAATTTGAAAATTTAACTTTTAAAACTTTCCCACTCTCAAAAGCAGCAGGCTTTAGAATTACTTCATTTTGTTCTGGAATCATCATCTCAACCCTTTAAAAACTATAACATTATCTACATAATGCCAGTCAGACAAACCCATCTAAGAAATTTCTGCTTGAGCTTGGGAAATAATGGAAAAACTCTCCATATGACTATTTCAGGTTGTAATGTAGGTGTGTGTGTATATATGTGAACAATTGCATATCATTTCCCTTGCTCTGTGAAAATAATGAAGAAAGATTATTAGATAATATTATGCTGTTGGCCACAGAGCTGGTGTTCTCTGCACAGAAGGGCTGACTTTACATTCTGCCTGTTTACAAACCCGACACATTAACCACAGGCACAGAACTGAGGAGCACAGGAGAAATGGAAAAGCTATTCAAGAAGCTGGCAGTTGACAACGGGATCTTGAAAAATTATTTCCTTGGATTCAACTAAATTTCTTCTTCCCCCTTTCCAGACAGGGCTCTGCTAGGAGACAGTTTGGTTCACTGTGGTTGAACCAGCTGTCGAAATCCCAGCCAGCTCCTGAGTAAGCAAAAAACTAATCAGAAGCTGCCTTCAGCAAGCTTTGCTTTCCCGAGCACTGCTGTCTCCTCGCTCAGGCAGTGTGCTGCCCACCACCAAATCAAGAGGCATCTTACTCCTGCCTGGCTCTTGAGCAGCTGCCTCTGCCTCCTGGCCCCCTGCCACTCCCTGTCCCCCCACGCGGTCCTCTCAAACCATCTACAGCAGTAAAAGGTTTCCTATGCTCTGATGGCTTAGACTCTAGACTTCTGCCAGCACAACACTGTTGGTCTAGGACCAGGGGTACTTGCAGCCCTGACAAACAGAACATCTTTCACCAAGGGGCCAAGAGTCAGAGCCCTCCTGATGGGCTGTGCATGGCCTGGCCAAGGAGGTGCTGAGGGAAGTGGAGCTTACTGAAGGCAGTTTCTGATTAGTTTATAACTCATACAGGACTTGGCTGGGATTTCAACTGCAGGTTACAAATCCTATTCAAAGACCTCAATTCTGTCTGCTCCTTCACCTTAGAGTTAAGTACATCTGCGCACCTCGAAAACCAGAGCCAGCCCTGGATTCAAAGGCTGAGGCAGAATTCAAGCTCTGAAAGTACAGGCTGTCATTCCTATTATTATTTTTTGGCAATTCCATTCCCATGTCCTCACCTTTAACCAAATGGAGGATACTCCAAGGCAGTGGTACAACACTGCATGCCCCCTCTCCATGCCATTTCTGGCAGGGCCAATCTGCATTCAAAGGGGCTGGTGTTTCCCTGCTTGGCTACCCACCCTTGCTCACTGTGGGACACTGGGTGCCCCCACCGTGGCTGAATGGGGCACTGCAAAGCCACCCCACCTCTTCCAGCTGCACAGAGCCAAGCTCAAGCTTGCCCTGCCATATGGTTCTGCTGCTAATTGTATGGAAACTGCAGAGATGCTAAGGCTGGACACACAGATTTAGCAGTTTAAACATAAGCCTAGCTAGGGCTTGCACTGAAGTCCTGTCCCTGATGTAGCACCAGAGAGGAGGACACCTGTGGGCTGTGCACCTGGGGTCCTCCTGCTGCAGAGGTGGCCCCAGCTGGATCTCTCCAGTGGTCCTTCTTACTCACATGTGCTGCTCCAATGATTAGATAAGAGGAATTGCCCATTGACTTTCATTTCAGTTGTTCGTGACTGGATCAAAGGATGTATGCTCTCTTTGCTTCAATTATGCAGTTTGGGCTAATGTAGTCCAGATGGCTATTTCATCTCAGCCTTTATATTTATTCATGGCCTTTCTATTTAACTTTCCTAAAACAAATACTCACTTGTAGGCATATATTAATTCAGGGAAAAGAACTGCCTCAATCAATATGTTGAGGTTAAGTTTCTATACCACAATAGGTCCTATGTACACAATTTCTATTTTTATTACTCCACTCCTAGCCTCAGATATATGAGCAATTTCTTTAACGTGTTTACTTTGGCTTTTTTACAAATTTACACAAACTACATCTTCTCTGATTATTAGATTTACAATATGCAGATATTCTTTCACTGACCTTTTAGCTAAACCCTTCTGCAAACTTTGGCTGAATATTAATAAATTTACAAAAATACCAAGGAGCCTAAATGTTTGCCAACATGATATTGCACCATCTCTGACCACAGCATGCCTGTCCTGCAGAGGATAAAATTTGTTGTTGAATTTATGTGCCATCTTGCAACCAAAGTGTGAACACAGAGTGGAAAAGCTTGAGACCAACGAGACAAAAAGTTTTCAGTTAGCATTTACATCATCTTTTAAACTGGATCTGCAGGTTGGGTGTTGAGAGTTGGCTCAGAGGCTGCTGGTGGAGAGCCGAAGGCAGTGCCTGGCAGGAGGTGTCCAAGGAGGGGCAGTGCCTGGCTCTGGGCTCAGCAGGAGGGAGGGAACATGGGAAGCCTCAGTTTAATCTGTCTGGTATTTGATTTGGGCTTTTGGTCCTCGTCTGGATAACAGGGTTGTGATTTCTCTTGGTACACTTACAATAAGAATATCTGAAACTCAGCTGCAGCCAGGCAAGATTTTCATTTTGGGTAATCTGATTTTAGCTTAGGTGATTAGCTGCTCCATAGTCAATGGCCAAATCTAATTCTCATTGTAGTTTTTCTTCTGGAGCCAACAAGTGTTAATTTCTTACAAGCTGGGCTTTACTTCACACCTTCTCTTCTTAAGCAACCTCTCCCAAAGCATTGCAAACAGAGGAGGTGATTTTAGACCCAAGCATGAGGAAAAGGGTAGCAATCACTTATCAATTTTTCTGTTGTGTGAAATGGGCACAGTGGGCCACCTTTTAACATTCTGAGTATTAATATTGGCCTGAAAATCTTATCTATATTTTTATATTTAGCATTCATAATATAAACATACTTTTCATTACATAGGTTAGATGAAGTTTTCCAGAACCAGATCCTCTTCAGCATTTTACATCCATATTTTCATGTGTGAGTGATTGCTCCAAAAATCAGTGTGAAACTGGGACAAGACAGCTCTCCAAGTTTCATTAAAGATTATTTTTTTGGTTTGTAAAACAGTTTCCTTCAAAGTTTGTTTGATTTAGAATAATAATTTTTAAAAAAGGATGGTGAAACAATTTATGACAGCTCTTCCCTTCCCTGCCAACCCTGTTAAATTAAAAAGACATTTAGAAATGTAGAGTTAACCTAAGTACAAATCCTAAGCCTGAGAAGAAAAGGAGACAGCAACGATTGTATGAGGACAAGTTTTCTGTAATGCCATTTTCCTTTTGGTTGGATTTCTACACCAAATGAAACTAAGGTTTAGAGCCATAACCTGGCTGCTCTCTGAGAAATTATTCCAATCTTTTCTAAGGCTAAAAGCAGAAAAAAATGCTGTGATGGCTTGTAAAGGCAGAAGAAAGACATCCTGCTCTGCTGTGTGAGGAGGGATAGCATTGCTAGCCCCACACGTATGTAAAACAACATGCACACTGTGAAGCTCGCCAACCTTCAGACTTTCTACCCGTGGAGCTCCCTGGGGGAACCATGAAAAACCAGTTAAAAGTCCCTCCCAGTCCATGCTTCAGAGAAAACCTCCCACCTGAGACTCTAAGTGCTTTCCCATGAAATTACCTCAGACTAATTGGAAAAGCAAGAACAGTATGCAATCGCCCTCAATGCGGTGATATTTAGAGTTTGCCTGCACAAATTAAAGTCCACCCATGTGTCAACATTTCTCCAACTTCTAGGCCACAGCATGCTTGCTTATCCCCAGCTCTGAGCAGCTCCAGCTGCTGTGGGTGAGCACACCCTGCCTGTGGCTGCTGGGATGGATGGAGGCAGGACCTGCTCGGCTGGGTGCCCTCCACACCAGCCTGTGGAAGTCTCCAGGTACCTAACCTGCTCCTGCCCCACTGCTAGCCAGCCTGAGTGAGGTGTCTTGTTTGTATCCAACGGCGTGGGTAAGACTGGGGCTGGCCTCAGGTGCAATATTTTTCCTTTCAGTTGGGACCTGCTCTGCTTACTCCCATCAGTTCCCCATCAGGAGTAGTTGCCACTGGGAAGGGATCATAAACCTTGGTGGCAGCACCTGCACAGATGGCGTGGGAACAGGGAACAACAGGGAACAGAAGAGAGGATATGGGATTAAGAGATAGTCTTTCCAAGGTAGGATGGGGAGATTATTTCACTCCAAAGCCCGCAGTGGCAAAGGTCTCAGTGAAGAGCCTTGGCTAGAAATTCAAACTTTAGCTTGATTTGAGAGTCCCTGGGCAGTACAAATACTTTCAGTTACTGTGGATACAGGAAGAACTGTTAATTAGTCCATTTTCTGGGTAAGTAATAAGTGTAAGTATTATGATAAAATCTGGCCACAAATTTGCTGGTTTGAATTTCTGCATCTTAAATAATATCTTTGTGAACGTGTTTTCTAGATCTCTTCCCAGACTTCCCCATGGCAAACTATCCAGTACTTTGGAGTGTAGGCTCACCCAGGGCCAGCAACATGGTAAGTCACGCAGCAGTGCCTGCATTAACAGCTGAAATCTGCAGGAATTTGGATTGTAAGTATTTAATGCTTCCTGTGTTCCCCGCCCCCCCCCGTAATGGTCACACAGAATTTTCATAACCCTTTATGTGTTGAAAAGAGGAGCCAGGTTTCTTGCTGTTTACTGTTATGCATAATTTCTCAGATTCACTTTCCTTTATTGCTGTAGTTTTCTTTCCTCTGTTTTAAGTCATCCCCACAGACCATCTTTAGCCAGATTACTGACAACTGATTAAATCGGTGTTATAGGGATGGACTCTGAGAAGGTCTGATGGCACAGCATGAGCTGCCTGGAGCTGGCATCCAGTTGTAACATACCCCAAGTAACCATCCTTTTCTATTTATTTTTGTAGTCTTGAGTGATGATGCTCTTCTTCATAAACGCATTGCTTTTGGACAGCAGGATGCTACACTGCTTTGAGAGTTCATTATTGTTTTAAATAAACACCACTGAAGTACCAGGTGGGAATTTAACTAAGGGCTGGAAATCAAGTCCTACACCCAGCTTGGATAGGCCAAGTCAAATCTTTTGAGTACCTCTTATGGAGAAAGATAGTGTGAGAGCTGTGCTATGGAGCCAGAAACAAAGCAGATAATTGTTGTTATCTTATTGCAAAAGCTCCATACCTTATTGGTGATTTCTCATGGGCAGCTCCTTGCAGTACTGACTCCTTCTTCCTCACAGCACAGCAAATAAACTCCATCTAACTTCTCGACCAGCCAACCTACTCTTTTACAATACCCATCCTAACTGGATCAAGCTGTGGTCTATTAAGGGCAGGCCTGTTCCTAATTCAGCTGTAACGCCCTAGGGGTGAGATTACCTTCATCACTATCTCTGTTCTCCTACATTCCATCCATCCACTGATCATTAGGAGCCTTGGGTACGGCGCTGGGGAGAGGACTCTGCATGGGTCAGCTTGCACCTTAGGGCAGGCTGACTTCTTCTGGCAAGGTGCTGGCTGGGTGGAGTGATGCATGCGGCTGGCTCTGAGTCAGTGGTGTTACCAGCTCTTCTGGCATGACATCACTACTCAGGAAGCATTAATTTTAGCAACAGAACGTGACTTTGTGTTGAGGGGAAGTACACAGAGAGCTTTGAGTAAAAAGCACATGACTACAAAGGAGTGTGATTACTTCCGAATTGTGAAATAAATGAAAGTGGCTTGTGCATTGTCTTTCTGTGGTGCTGCTTATATACAGCAGTTGTACAGCAGCACTTGAGTTTCCTTTCTGGAAATATGCTGCAGACCACAGGAAATTGCTAAGTTTAAATAAATGTGTTTATTAACTATATAGGAAAACTACCAAGTCTGGACCCCTTGTGATCACATTTCCCATAACATTCTGGTAACTGTTTGAAACTCAGGCAAAAATCCTGAAACTCCAAATAGTAGAAACCACATGGACTATCCCTTGCTTCAGCAGAACTGCATGAGGATGTGAAGAGGGACTGAAGTGATGCAGCCTTAGATATCTTGTCCAGTCTTTGCAGCATGGGATCTCAGATGGCTCTGACTACACAAAATTTTGGATTGCAGTTCTCCAGTTTCTTTGCCATGTTCTCAGTTCCCTTACCTTGAATGTAGACTAACTTTGCCTTAAAGAGGTAATTGCTTCTGGCAAGCTGGAATGTGCTACTTGCCATGTGCCAGAAATTGCTGCAGTCAATCATGCCTGCTTCTGAGATCCCGCCAGAATTACCTGACTCACCTTGGAAACACAGCAGGTAATGGCAGGATTGTATAAACTTAATACTGCCATGAGGGAAAAAATGAATCCCGTGGAGGCAGGCACAAGAGGCTGCTGACCGCAAGACATAATGGAAAAACATCAGGCTGAAAAAAAGTTGGTTTAAGGCCATTTGATTCATTAGTTTCTTCTTTGGAAATGTAAAAGAAGTAGAGAAAACTACCTTAGAAATAGAAGACGACTTGACAATACCCATAATGAGGAATAAGGAGGAGCCTTTTGCCACCATAGTGTGCGCAATGACTGACTACACACCATCATCAAAGGTTAATGTCTGAAAACAGTACTGGCCAGCATTTCTGTGACTGTACAACACTCCAAGATTGAGCTGTTTGATGCTGCCTGTCATCCTCTGGGAACACAGCTGGTACCATACAGATAGAAAAACACAGAGCCTATAGCTTCCTAGGAACTTGGGTCTCCCAGGCTGCTACAAAGCAGCCCAACAACTCATTGAAGTCCTTTACAAAAAGGATCAAGCTCCATCTTAAAACTCATCAGCTTATTTTGTCCCTACTGCCCGACTAAGAAGCTGACCCATGACCTCCATGTCCTTGGATGGTCAGGTAAGAATTTACAGAGAGCATCTGCTAAGGTCTCGCTTTGTTAAGCTGAAGGAGCCAGCCCCATGCATTCCTGTCTATTAAGAGGAGACTGGCACAGCCAGAAAGCCAGAAGGTGGAAATACTGTTCAGGAAGATTTTGAGGTGTTATTCCCTTCATTACCGAGGTCAAGGAGCTGTCTAGCTGTGCTGCTTTTGTCCTGACCAGCTGTGCTGGTGACATGCCGGCTCTGTGCCATGCCATGAGCACATGGCCATGGAGGACAGAGCCGAGCCCTGTGTCGCTGAACCAGAGGGAGTGTCTGACTCTGCCAGGGAGGAAATGAGTCCAGGCCTTAAGGACAAGAGCGGCAGGTCACTCTTTCTTTGTGGAAGGAGCTTTGATGTGCAGTTATGATGTGCAGTTATCTGTCTGTCCAACTAAGAAGCGAGGCCCGTGAGGGCTGTCCCGCGGAGGCTGCTGCACCGCCCAGAGGCGCAGCTCTGCGAGGGCTCAGCCCGGCTGGTGACACCAAACACCCTGCAAACCCCTCCTGAGCCAGCCTCTCCACCGACGTTTTAAAGAGCTGAATCTCAACATAAATTTCAAAGGGGGTTTGAACTACTTGCAATTTTGTATTAAAGCTATGCTGTGCTTGAAGGCCCAAGTGTCCATGAGGGTTGTTCAAACGCTATTTTTGCTTCTGCAAACAAAGGAACCCTTGATATCAAATGAGTGACTACATCTCCCAAGAATGCTGACCTGTCTAAATATGGAGATATTAGTAAGCATTTGTTTTCATTATCCGAAAAAGGAGGAATTGCTATTTCAATTTTTTCTTTCCTGAATTTTAATAGAGAGAAGAAAAAACTTCTGGATGAGGACATTTTTTTATTTTCCCAAGAAAAATTACTTCTGTGTGTACAACACCGGCCTTGCTTCTGCAACAAAAATATTCTTTCAGGATATTTTGATGATGTCCCCTGAGGGGACATCATCATCAGCTGTTTTCCAGATGTTTTAGCCTTTCTTAATCATACTCTTTCACTGGCCATTAGATCTGATTCAAAGCTGAAGAACGTCATTCCATCCGGCACAGCCCTTCTGAGTCCACAGGAAGTATTTGGGTTTTGCAGCTTATAAACATGAATTTAATTAAAAGATAAACTGAAATAAATCTATTTGCAGTGTAGTTATGCATATGACACACCATTGGCAGTTTAGACCTACCAGCATTGCCACTAGGTGATGCATGTGCAGTTTTTATCTTGTGTGTTTTATGCATCAGCTTGAACTTCATAACCCTGCCCTGGTAAATGCAGGGTGCCTTCCTATCCTCAATACTTGCTATCATCAGAAAATGCCCTGTCTTGCTACTCACCTCTCTGTCTAGGTCATTTATGAGTCTGTTGATCAGCAGGTCCCAGCACAAATTGATAAAGTCTGTCCGTGACTTCCTCCATTGTAAAAAAGTTGTGATTTGTTTCCTTTTTTGGAACCAAGCCTGCAGTGGCCTGAGGGCTCTGGTGAGGAGTATTGTCAGAAGTCACTGGTCAAGAAGCAAGGTGTTCTCATCCTTTGCATCTGCCAAGAGCCAGTGCACAGTGGTTTCCCCACCAGCTTCACGAGGCAGGGGTCTGCCTTTATCCTAAACACCAAGCTTTGGCTTTTAGCCTGAAGATCCCCATCAAAAAGACTGTTTTCCCCATTGCTCCACTCTCTGTGTAGTCATTTAATCCTCCCTGTAGTAGTGGTAAACTGCTCCTTAATCAAAACCGTACCCTCCGCATCCACTTCCTATTGAACAATAATAACAATAACAGTGACTTGTATGTTTCTGCTCTTAAAAGTAAATTGGCTGTGTGTGTCTCAGGGAATTTTTGCAGGGCCTAGTTTGGAGGGGTGGGGGGGCAAGTTGTGAATGAGACCCCTGGGCTCTCCCTGGAAGCCTACTATGGAGATGACAGCCCTCTGTGTGACTGGAGTCATGTCTGCTACACACATGGCATCCTGATGCTTTCTTTGCTCCACCAACGGATGTAGTCTCCAAAGAGCAAAACAAAATGTAGGAGAATTTTTGAAAAACTAAGTTCTGACTATTTTTACAAAGAGGCTTGGGGATTTTTTTGAAAGGTAGTTTTTTTGAAGCTTGGGGATTTTTTGAAAAGTAGGTTTTTTCCATAATTTCTGTAAAAATTGAAACACTTTCTTTTCATTGTTCTTATATTGTTTCTCCAGGAATCTTTGTTTTAAGTCATGTTGAATTCAATTAATTTATCTTGTTTTCATTCATAAAGGACCAAGTTCTACAAACACCAGAACATAGCAGAGCTTTGTGGGAAGTGGACATATCGAGGTTTGTATCCTCTCTTGCTCTTGTTAGCTTCCTAGAAAAAAATCAGCTGGTATTTTTTTCTTTCAGAGGGGAGGGAAAAAAAGAAAGATCCTGTTTGTGTGGACGATGAAAATAAATATTTTTTTAATGGATGCCAAATGTTAGGCTAACAACCTTGAGAGTTTGATCACACCTCCTAAAAATGCAGATGAAGGGAAAACTCTGTAAAAAGTTTTTTCACATTTTACTCTGGATTTTCCCAGTTATCAGACTCCTGGGATTTGCATTTTTGGGAAGAATGACGTGGTGTGGCCCCTTGGCTTCACAGAGGCTGAGAGTGAGGTGTCTTTTTGCCAGACTGAAGACAAGACTTACCAGCTCCTTCCCACTTCCCTGGCCCCTGTGCTGGCTAGAGCACATCCGAGCAGAAGTCATGCTGATGTCACAATCCACCAGCATCCTAGGATGAGCCCAAGGCTTGTTACTTGCCTGTTCTGAGCACACACATTGTCATGGTTTCATCTTCCCCAGCCATCCCATTGTTTCTCCAAATATGCCAGCCAATTGGCAACTGGGATAGCAACATCTTATTTTTGTGTCCATGCCTCAGCATTTTGCTTCTGCACTGGGATTGTGACCCCATCCATCCTTGACCTGCCCATGACAGGCTCAGACAAGAGGAAAGAGTCCAAACATGAAAATTCTCAAAAATGTAATGCAGAACAATTTGTCTGCCATTTGTTTTTTTCTGCTGTCTACCACTGCTGTGGGAGAAGTCCACAAAAGTGAGCAGCAGAGTAGGTGGATTATGCAAGCCCATGGGCAGTTCCTGTTACCAATGACCCGCCTCCAGGCGCTACAGAGTCCCCCAGAGTCGGAATGGGAAGTTTTTCTGACATGGGAATGCTTGAAATTGTTCAGACACCTGTTCACATACTTCCACAAGTCTCAGTTAAAGGGAGGAAGAGCCACAAAACTTAGGACAAAAACATATACATTGGAAAGTAAGAATTGGTGGGGTCTTTATTTTTTGCTTTTGTAAAGGAAGTGGATGCAGGTAAGTAAAGAAAGGAATGTGGATTCTAATTTCTTGGTATTTGATTATTCAAGGCAATAAGAGGTGCAGCAAAAATCCAACATGCAGTTTGGCAGAGTACAATACCATTATTCCATAGGAAGTAAAGACCATTTATTTCACTGTTCTCTCTTCCTGATTTGTGACTCCCATGTAAACTTTACACAGACTTCACAGAGCAAGACTGTGGCAGGTTCAAGGAGTAAGGTCTTTCCTGTACACTTAAATTAAAACAAACCTTGTATTTGCCAGAGGCAGCCTCCAGTTTGTTTTCATAAAAAGGAAGTACAGTGAACTTCTTCATGGAGACTTCACTTATGATCTTCCTCATTTTATTTCCCCTTCATATTAAAATAGACCTTTTAGGCTCTGTTGTTGATGAAAGTTGATGATTCCACTTTGTACATGCAAAGCATAACAGAATGGTGTGAGATGAAAAGTAGAAGCTAGTCCAGAATAATACACGGAATAAAACAGCTTCAGCTGCAAATGCTGAAGCGGTCAGGATGTGAAAATAATTTCTCTCCTTCAAGTTGGAACAAAAATGTAGCAGGAAATATAATGACCAGGTGGCATAAGCAAAAGTCCTGGGATCAGATGCTTTAAAAAAAAAAAAGGAAATTGTTTAAGAATATGAAGTTTGTCTTAGGAGCTGTTGAAGGGCAGAGAGGAAGGAATCATTTGCTAATTGTGCCATACATTTAAGAGGTTCTCCTCATTTATTCTAGTCACATACATATGCACTCTTTTACTACGGAGAGCTATTTAGCCTGCAGAGAACCACATTTCAGTGTGCATGCATTGTAAAACCAATATAGGAAGAGTGTTTAGTGAGCAGCTAATGACTTCCTTAAAAGGATAATACAGTTAACAGTTGAGAGGATGTACAGCTAAATATGGCCCTTGTAAAACTTAGCAGATTCCATTAAAAAACAGACATGCAGGAAGTGTCTAGTTCCTATTAGAACTGATTGTACACAGTTGCATGGGAAGAAATAAATTTAGTGTACAGAATTTTACATCACATCCTTTGAAAGCATTGAAATTCTCTGGGGTCTGCAAATCTGTGCATCTGGTCCACATACACACACATACACACACAAACAATTAACTGGTGTGCGCTTACTTTAAAGGAAAATGTGCATCTAAAACTCAGTCTGCACATCCCAAAGTGAAGGGGAACATCCTACTGACTGCAACAGGCCTGGGTTTGGCTACACCTGAACCTGTAAGTTAGGCTCCCCCCTTACAGATCCTACACTCACCCAGAGGGACTCCAGGTGCATGTAAAGGAGGGGGAAATCCATCCCGTAAATTCTGTGTTAGAAAAGCAATTCCATTTTCTTATTTGATATAATTTTCTATTTTGAAAATGAAAACGGAGCTAATGCTAAAATTTCCTTCATTGGATTAATCATTTATTATGAACAGCAATTATGGATTCAGTCTTACTCAAGTTAAATGATTTTATGAGACAGTGTTTATTTTCAAGATATTTTCAAGGAAAAGATTTGGACCCAGAATCATTTAGCATTGAAAGGTCGCTGTTCACAGGAACCTGAAAAACCTTTCTCAACTGTATTTGAAATGATTTTTTAATTCATTTGCAAGGACATCAGAGAATCAATTTGCCTCTAGCCACAGTCCTGACGCCAGCAGGTAAAGCCAAGGAAATGACCCAGAGAGCATCAAGATAAATCTGTGATGAAATCCAAGGCAAAATTGCCTACCGGAAACCTAATGAACTGGACTCAGAGGACATTCATGGACGGAAACAAAGGCTTCTTCTTCCCCCAGAAAGACTCAATTTCCATTGACACAGTGAAGCTTCAAGCTTGTAGTGTGAGGATGCCCCAGCTGAGTTCAGGACCTTAGGAAGGAGTGAAGTTTCAGGAATTTGAACAGCAAGGGCTCTCTCTGGTTATTTGTGCTGCTCTGCAGACCACAGTGGGAACAAAACTCATGTAGGGCTTCCATGCTGCCCTGTGGTCTGGCAACTGAGGAGTGATCAAGGAAAGAAATGTTTAAAACAAATAGTTATAGAATTGTTTATGTTGGAAAAGACCTCCAAGATCATTAAGTCCAACCACTAACCTGGCACTGCCAAGTGCACCATTAAACTAAATGGCACATCTACATGTCTTTTAAATACCTCTAAGGGTGGTGATTCCACCACTTCCCTGAGCACCCTCTTCCAATGCCTGACAACCCTTTTAGTGAAGATGTTTTTTTATAATATCCAATCTAAACATCCCCTGGCACAATTTGAAGCCATTTCCTCTTGTCATATAGATTATTACTTGAAAGAGGAGACTGACCCTCTTCTCACTACAAACTCCTTTCAGGCAGTTTTGGTTTATGTTGGAAAAGACCTCCAAGATCATTAAGTCCAACCACTAACCTGGCACTGCCAAGTGCACCATTAAACTAAATGGCACATATCTTTTAAATACCTCTAAGGGTGGTGATTCCACCACTTCCCTGAGCACCCTCTTCCAATGCCTGACAACCCTTTTAGTGAAGATGTTTTTTTATAATATCCAATCTAAACATCCCCTGGCACAATTTGAAGCCATTTCCTCTTGTCATATAGATTATTACTTGAAAGAGGAGACTGACCCTCTTCTCACTACAAACTCCTTTCAGGCAGTTTTGGAGAGTGAAAAGGTCACCCCTGAGTCTCCTTTTTTCCAGGCTAAACAAGCCCAGCTCCCTCAACTGCTCCTCATAGGACTTGTGCTGCAGACCCTTCACCAGCTCCATTGCCCTTTTCTGGACACCAGTCTTTGTGTAGTGAGGGCCCCAAAACTGAACACTGAACTGAATTCAAGTCGTGGCCTCACCAGTGCCGAGTCCCGGGGGACAATCCGTGCCCTGGTCCTGCTGGCCACACTGTTTCTGATACAGGCCAGGATGCCATTGGCCTTCTCAACCACATGCTGGCTCACATCCCGCCACTGTCAACCAGCCCCTCCAGGTCCTTTCCAGTGGCCACTTTCCAGCCCCTCTGCCCCCAGCCTGTAGCACTGCCTGGGGTTCTTGTGACACAAGTGCAGGACTCATCGCTTCACCTTGTGAAACCTCACACAACTGGTCTAAGCCCAGCCTTGGCCTTCCTACCCTCCAGCAAATCAACATTTCCACAGCCAAACATCCTTTAAACATCTTGCTCTGCAGCACCCCAAAATAATTCCCTTCCTCTGGTGCCCAATCCATCATAAACAGAGAAGTTCTTCCTACCCTCCAGCAAATCAACACTTCCACAGCCAAACATCCTTTAAGCATCTTGCTCTGCAGCACCCCAAAATAATTCCCTTCCTCTGGTGCCCAATCCATCATAAACAGAGAAGTTAAAACTTCAGATTGATAGAAGAAAGCAGCCATTGAATCATGGAAAGAGTCCTTCTTTGGCAGGTTTGCTGGTAGCAAATATTTTTCATATTCCAAAGAGAATATGAAACCAGTGTGGCAGACACATCTGGGCTCTCAGTACCAGTAAGCAAAAGGGAAGGGAAGAGTATCACTATTGCAAAGAAGAAGGTTTAAAAATGAAGTGGACTTTTCACTGTGAGGCCTGGGTTTTATGTTGTGTTTTTATTACTACAGATGGTTTTGTGGGGAATATGACGGCTATCCTGCTGTGATGGATGAATTACATTCAATTTAGAAGCCTGAATTTCCAGTCTACAGGTTTTGAAGAAAATAAATAAACAGTTTCACACAGGAAATGAGCAGAAGTCTCTCTGTGGCACACAGCATTTGCACATCATTGATTTGTGATCTGATATTTAATGGACTACCTTGTGTTGAGAATATGCCACTGACATAACAAACAGCACTAACAACCAGCTTCCTCAGAGTGCAGGCAAAATGTGTGCAGTCCCCAGCATCTCTTGTCATCCCTTTTCCAACTCTGCTGAAGTGCTTGCGCTAACAGCTACTCTACCTGTGGTTTTTGCATAGTATATATATATATATATATATATATATATATATATATTTATGCATACATATAGAACTGGAGTGATACACTTATGTTTTTACACACATAAAAATATAAGCCGGTTGTAGATGTGCCACTTGGAAACCTCTTCTAGCAACGGAATTATCACGGATGTGCTTCTGCTGAGTCTGAGTCAAAACCACTTAACAAGTGCTAACATGAGCTGCTGCACAAGACAGTGACTGGCTCTGGTGGGCTGTTTGTAGGGCTGTCACCAACCTCTCCCTTGCCCTTCCCAGCCTAACCAAAAGGTCACTGATATTATTATTAGCACAACAGAAATCCTAGCACACATTAAAAAACCTCAGAATTTGCCATATTTGCCCAAGATGTCAGAGAAGGCTCAAGAGTTTCATGCCTCCTCCTTCCCAGAATCAGTACTTCTGGTGGGATTTAGGCTCCTGGTCCAAGGGCAGACAGCAGCTGCCCAGTCTCATGACCTGTGAGGTTTACCTGGTGTCATTGTGGAGGGAGTTCATTAGCTCAATTCTGTAATGTCACCATCACTTCATGTTCTTAGGCATAAGATCGCCAGCAGCCACGGCTGTCTCAGGAGCATTTCCTGCCCCTCCTGCAGTCTGGGGAAGTTGAAACTTTGCACACCAAGGTGACATCCTCATACAGCCCGAGCAGGCACCCCCAATCACTTTCTCCACTTTCTGTGAAGGAGATGTTAGTCTTCTTTCCAGTTTATGGTTTGTTCACCCTGTTTCATCATTCTCTGTTGTTCCAAAGCAGCAGCCCTCTGGGTAGGGACATGGCAGACACCCTCCAGGCTTATGATATTCTCTTTACAATACCCTTAATGGGCAGAGAACCTGTAGTGTCCCTTTTGTTTCATATGGCTCCATGTAGGGCAATGTGGCTTTTCCCAGATGGTACCACTTGGTGCTGCTTCTGTGTGCAACCCCAGCTCAGGCTCCCCAGATTTTCTGCCTGATGCCTCTTTTCCAACAGAGCCATAACAGTGCCTGCTCCAGCTCAGGACGAAGTCAGCCTGTCCTCTGTCAGGTTAATCCTGCACTGAGTGTCACTTCCTTTGAGTGTCACACATTAAACAGGATGCTTCCAGCTCCCTATTACAAATGTCTTCAAGACACAAGTTCTCTCAGTAAAGATGATCAGAAAAAGATGGAAGAGGAAGAGTTTATAGCAAGAAGTGAAGAAAGAAATTACAACTGTCAGATCTGAAGTTACTTTTTCTCACAGTCATTTTAATACACTAACACAGTGGCATGTTGAGTCTCATGAAGTTACACCACCACACTTTGCATTAGCACCACTAAGAGCCATCAGCCACTGTCTTCTCTGCAGCAGTGTTTGATCTGGGAGGGTCAGTCCTTCAGGAGATGCTCATGTTACCTGCTGGCAGCAGGAGCTGAGGGAAGCAGTTCTATGATAATATTGTCTTAAGATCACACCCTTGGGCTGGCTGCCTGAATGATCCTTAAACAATATGTAGGATGACCCAAGTGATACAATCCTGTGGAAATCTCAAGCATATCTCCAGGGAAAGGGTGTTCTCCAGCAGCCTCAGCAGAAAGCATGGGTGCCCATCCTTGTCCCAGACTAATCCACTAAGATTGTCCCAGTTCCCTCCCATAATCTGCATGGACATTGAGGCCAACACCTCTTTAGCAAGTCACCACTGTTATCAGGCTTCTTTTTTCTACAGGGATGGACTACACCATCTCAGTTAGAGATTTGGGAAAGCTGTGAAACCACAAAGCACCTTCTAGAGGGCTGTTATCTAAGAAAGGCTCCATCAACAAAAGGAAGAGCCAGGTGTCAGCCAGGTTCAGGACACCTATGCTGGTCTGGAAAGCACTAGGCAGGCCTGGAGGTCACACAGAGGGCTAATAACCTTGTCTGTTACTTCCCTCCCTCTGTAGCCAGCCAGAGTGGATGAAGGTGTTGATTAAACCAGTTATTGCAGAGCTGACATAAAGCAAACAGCCCAGCTGAGAGCTCATTACGTAAAAGAGGATGAGGAGTGAAAAGTGCTGGCCACTGGTGGTGGTGTGCAGCCCAGGCTCCAGGGCTTGGCCAAGGAGAGCCTAGCACTGAACCAGAGCCTTGCTCAGTTCCCTGATGAGCTCTGGGAGGAGAAGGACAGGAACAACGTCTGCGGTCTCTCCCAGAGTGTCCAAGACCCAGACCAACACTCCACCATGAGCCTCCACTGGGAGTTTAGTTGAGGAGAAGGTTGGAAATGTAGTGCAGCAACAGACCTTCACTGATGGCAGGTATGCCGACTGAGCATTTGTGATCTTCTGTCTTCATCTGACTTTTATACTCACTCTCTCTTGCTTGCAATCTCTCAATAAAGCCAACCTTTGTTAGAGTGGGAATATAAACACTTATTTTTATGCATATAAATTCAAGGCCAAATCATGCAGCCATAAAACTGGAGACAACGAGGACATACCATGACAAGCAAAGAGATGGGACTCCCACTCAACTCCTCAGAGGCCACTGGCCCCTGAGAGGTCTAACCAAGGGGAAGCCACCCTGCCAGCCACGCTGAGACATGCCCCAGCACAGCAGCAGCATCAGTGATGCCTTAAATTTTTAGCTTCTATATTTTTCAGATCCTGTACTGCATTAGCATCTAACTCTGAACTCCATATAGAATGTTAGTAAGCTCTCTTCCCATTTTGGTCAGACAAAAAAATCCTTCCAGGCCTGAGAACCAAGGTCACCCTCACAGCCTCAGGCCCCAAAAAGTATAAACAAAAGTGAATTGGGGAGGAGCAAACTGGGGAATATGACTTCATTACCTGAAGCTGCAATTGGACAATTAACCCCTGATACGCAAACAGTCCAAACTTATATCTGTATGAAAAACTTGTGGCCATCGTCCACTTTGGGTGTAGTCTCTGCAAGGCTTTTGCACTGCCCAAGGCCTTCAATAAGGCCTGTTGAAGGCTTCAGTAAATACCTGCTTTAACTCTGTCTAGCCTCTGTTCTAGGTAGCCATTCCAAGGCATCATCAGCCCTCACCCCAAGATGTCTGGGGCTCCTCTCTCTTTAGAGCCACCTGGCCTCAGTGTCCTCAGCCCCATGTGCCCGACCCCTAGCACCTGAGTGTGGAGAGCAGGAGCAGGGCTTCACCTCCAAACTCAGAGCACAGCCACACACCAGGGTTTGAGGGTCTTTCTCAGGGAACCACTAACAGATTCCTCCAAGCGAAAAACAGCTGCAGCAACGCAAACCAGGGGCAGATCAGCCACTCAGGTGCTGCAGCAGCACCTCCACAGCCTGTCACCCACACCGAGTTCCCAGGGAGCACGTCAGGGGCAGCCCTGACTAATTACTGGTGACATCCATGTTTAACAGGGGTCAAGCCCTGGCCCTGTCTTTCTCAAAACAGGCTTAATAATTATTAACTTAAGGCTGGATAAGGAAAAAACAAATGTTAACTAATAACCTTGATTTCCTAGCACACACAAACCATGGGGGTTTTTAAAACATTGGCTCTGCTTGACTTTCTATTTGCCTGGGAAATACTGATCTGATGCTTTACCCCTTTCCTGCAGTTTTATACCATGGGAAGGACAGAAAATCTGGCGTGATGAATCAACAACACAAAGTGAAGTCACAGATGTGCCCGAGTCAGTGGATATGTGGCTGGACTGACAGAACCAGGACTTTCTTTCTTCTTCGTACTTTATGAATTAATTTGCCTTCATGTCAGCTCACTTGTAACTAAACTGGCTTTTCATCCTGTTTTTTTAATGATGCACTCTGCAGCACTTTGTATAGCCTGAGGTGCTCAAATGGCATGTAAGTGGATATTGCCCTGCAAGCTGCACTCTGCCATACAATTGCTATCGTCTCTTAAGTCTTAAAAGCCTGGGCATGATGTGAATTACAGGCTTTTCTTCTCCATGTGGGGCTCACAGCTTATAGTCCTAAATTACATTTTGTCAGCCTGTTGTCAAAGCAAGATAGAGGACCATTAAAAATAAGCTGCAGTTATGTAAGTGTTCATGAGTGTCTAAATATTAATGTCAGGATTTTGCATAATGGCAATGCTCTAAATAATCCTTTTTTAGCCTTTGTAGTTTAATCTTTGTTCATATTTTATCCATTAGTTACCTCTAAATAGCATGGTTCTTTTGATAAGTAAGAGGCTGTGAATAACATTTACTGAAATTTCAACATTCTTGTCTTTCACTGCCACAATCGGAAATGACTCTGTTCCTGGGGCCGCTCGGTCTTTCGTATTTTAATTGCAAATGAACTATACAACCTGCAGCAGTTTAAACAAAACCCAAACACAAACCAAAATAAATTTTTAAAAAAGCATACATTCCAGTGCCCATCTCCTGCTTCTACCATCTGCAGAGGTATTTGAAATCTCTATGAGCACTTGATTCACATCACTTTTCTACACGATGTTATTTACCGACTTCCAAAGCTTACCAATAAAATGCTGCCTCCATGACAAGGTGATGAGATTAAATGATAAAAGGCAGGAATTTAAAGTTTCATATTGTGCCTTACTAGCTGCCAGTGTCCCCATCTGATTTGTCGTGTCAGTGAATTGCTGGCCTTGACTGGAGGCCCCAACAGTGAGCCCCATGGATGCTGTAGCATGCAGCTGTGGAAAAGGAGGTTTTAATTTATTTTATGTGATCTTGATATGGTACAATCCTACCCTACCAGGGCTTTAATCTAGAAAAAAAACCTCAAAGACCAATACCTGGATGCAAGAGGTGT